TACACCATTGTCACAATTGTTTGTATGTTTGAGCCCATTGTTGTCAGTCCATCTTATTGTCCCTGTGTCAGTCCATCTTATTGAGGGTCTTCCTCTTGTTACTAACCATGATGTACTTCTTCACGAGATGGTCTCATGCCCAAAGTATGAGAGATGAAGCTGGCCATTCGCGACTCTAAGGAGCATTTTACCTGGTATATGAGTATATAAGACATAACTTTGACTCTATACCTTAATCTGTGATTGTCCCTTAACTTTTTGGATAAAACTATCTTAAAGAATTCAGTTTGGTTAAGAATATACACAGCAGTAGTTAATCTTACAGTCCAGGAACAGAGGACCCTAGGACCATCAAGGAGAAGAGCATGAGTGGAATGTGGGACTCTATCCAGCTGGTGGGTTTGAACTGCCAACCTTATGGTTAGCAGTCCTGTGCTTATCCTGCAGCACCAGACCAAGACTCCAAAAATTCACTATGGTTTCTTTCTCTTGGTCTGTGAGATCTTTCAGGTCAGGACTCTGTTTCATTCATATTTGTGTCTATAAGGTCTTCTTAAGCACAGATTATGACCACACATGACTTGTACTTTAAAGTGCTAAATGAATGAATAGGTGGGTGAAGTTATTTCATTATTTATTTTGTAGCTAGGAATAGTTATTAATGACATGGGGGAAAAGGCTTGATGTTATATATTTTTTAGGCCCAATATGGAATGCACACATGTACATTTCATTTAGAAAATATATACAGCTCATAAAATTAGTACTTTAAGATTTTTCAAAAAATGGTTTTGAATTCAGTATCAAATTAGAGAAGCTAGTCAAAGTACTGTGAGCAAAGTATCTATAAAACCTGGGTCAGTTAAATTCTTGTCCAACTCAACTTCATGAGTACCCTGAATAACTTTTAGCTGTCTGATAAAAAAGAAAATGTAATTAATTTTGTTCTCTTGCCCACTTTTTGCTTTTCCTAGAATGGAATTGAGGAAACAGCTGCAGAATGCAGGAGACTGGGGGCCAAGACACATGTCTTTGTAGTTGACTGCAGTAACCGAGAAGATATTTATAGCACTGCTAAAAAGGTAAAATGTATGTTGACTTATATAATGCTAGCTGGGGGAGATTTTAGAGATGGCCTGATCCTTTCATGTTGCAAATGAGGTAACTGAAGAGTTCTGTGATTTGCTCAGAGTTTGGGTCCTTAAACCAGTTCCTGGGAGATCCAGAACTAGAGCTTCTGTTTTAAAATCTCTAAAGGAGCTTCTTAAAATATACATTCTTGAGCTCCACCCCTCAGATATTTTTTCCAGGAGGTCATGGGTGGGGCTCAGGTATCTGCACATTTTGCAACTGCTTGCCCTGTCTGATTCTGATGCAAGTAATTCTTAGAAGATACTTTCAGAATCTGAAGTCCTGGTGTGGTACTGTAGGATAAGCATTGAACTGCCAACCACAAGGTCTGTGGTTCAAACCTACCAGCTGCTCCTCAAAAACCTTATACAGTGTCACTAAGAGTCATAACTGACTCAACAGCACTTAACAACAACTTGCAGAAATACTGACAAGTTCTTTCATATAAACAGTGACTATTGGGAAAAAAGCTACTTCAAAGTATTGTGTTAGATAGTTAGAATAAACTTGTTTTTTCACTGGGCTTTTATAGTAGAGAAATACGTTTCTCTAAAGCATTGTTTGCCTCTTCTTTCTTCACAACTGAGATGTGCTGTAGGACAAACATTGGTGTGCTAACTGCAAGGTCGGTGGTTCAAACCCACCAGCTGCTACTTGGATACTCTATGCAGGGTCACTATGAGTTGGAACTGATTGGACAACACTTACAACCCCAGACAACATATAATAGGGCTTTCCTCTGAGTTCATATTTACATGTACCTATTAAGAAATTTATTTAAAGGTAGAAAGTTCATTGAAATTACCTGGGCAGGTTCTTTGAAATGCATATTTCTGGGTTCACTCCCTAGTACTGATTCAATATGGTATGAAAATTCTGATTTACCCAAACTTCTCCATGTTTAATAAATTCTACACTTCGGGTCATTAAAAAATATATTTTATTGTATTTTTGTTGAAAGTATAACCCAACAAAACAGGTTTGAGTTCAACAATTTTTGCACATATTGTTCTGTGACATTGTTCTGTTCTTTGCATTGTCTCAGCAATTGTTCCGTTCCCATTGACTTCATCTTCCTGTCCCCCCAACCTTCCCATCCTGCTGTACAGTAACTGAGGATCATTTGGTCTCATAGACAGTAGTTAATTTCTTAAAGGAGTATCATACTCAAAGGTGACATTCTTTATGAGTTAACCTGCTTTTCAGTAAAAAGTTGACTTCAGGAGATAGTGTTCGTTTAAGGTCTAAAGAGCATCTCAAAGCAGCAGCCAAAGGAATTCCTTCAATGTCACAAGACCCAGTCAGTCTGGGTCCTTTGAGAAATTTGAAGTTTGGTTCCACATTTTTCACCCTTTCTACCAGGATCTGTTGTGGCTTTGACTAAGATGCTTTGTATTAGTTGCTGAGAACCTTCTAGTTCTTCTGAGTTCAAGTTAGAGGAAACAGTGGTTCATGAAGACAATTAGTTCTGTAGACTGGTTTCTTCTCTGATTCTTGAGTTTCCTTTTTGCTCCAGATGAATAGAGACTAATAGTTGTATCTTAGATGGCTGCTCACAAGCTTTTAAGACCTTAGATACTAGTCACCAAACTAGGTGGGTATAAAACACAATTAAAAAAAAAAAGTTGTATTATGCCAATTAACCAAATCGTCTCACAAAACTATATTTTAGGGACAATTTTAAACTTCTGTTTTTAAATTTTGGAGTCCTGGCGGTCAAAGAAGGGAAAAATATAGGAAGAGAGATCCAGGTGGTGAGGAGGCCAGGTAGATTACAGGATACAACAGACTGTCTTAAATGGAGGGAAAAGTTAATAGACTATAGGGTAACCCCAAAGAAAGTTAATACTTCACAACTTACCATAAAAATGAACATCCAAGCAGAACAAGGAAACATGAAAACTAAGAAGAAATCTACAAGAAATAGCACAAAAACCACAAACTCAGCACAAGAAGGCATGCAGAACAAAGGAACGAACAGCACTACCAAAAAATCAACATAATGGCAGCATTAATTCATACCTATCGATAATTACATTGAATGTCAATGGATTAAATGCACCTGTGAACAGACAGAGAGTGGCAAAGTGGATAAGAAAACAAGACCCTTCAATGTGCTGCCTGCAAGAGACACTCCTTACACAAAAAGACAAAAACAGACTAAAAGTTAAAGGATGGAAAAAATATATACCAAGCTAACTGCAATAATATACAAGCAGGAGTGGCAATACTAATCTCTGATAAAGTAAACTTTAAGACAAAAACCAGCATGAGAGATAAAGAAGGACACTATCTCATAATCAAAGGGTCAATTGAGCAATATGACATAACCATAATAAATATCTATGCTCCCAATGAAAGAGCACCAAGATATATGAAGCAACCCTACTAGAATTGAAGAAAGAATTAGATAAATCTACAATTATAGTGGAAGATTTTAATATGCCACTTTTGAAAAGGGATAGGACAACCAGAAAGAAACTCCACAAAGTTACAGAGGAACTAAACAGCACAATCAACCAACTTGACCTCATAGATGTGTACAGAGCATTCAACCCAACAACAGCACAATATA